CTCCTGTCTTCACAGGCGGGGACCCAGAAGGGGTACAGGGGGTGGTCTTGGTGGCTCGGCAGGCAGCGTGTAGCCTCAGACCCACTGTCTGTGCTGGGGAGACCCCAGGGGCTCCCACTGGCCCTGTCCACCTTGACTCCCCATCTGGCCTGAGCCCGACTACCCAGGGCTGGGTGCTGGTGGCACGCAGGTGGGCATCATGGGGAGGGAGCAGGTGGGGTGCCAGGCCTTTTTTCACATCACAGCTGACAACGCCCGGCCCTGAGGAGCAGTGCCTGGCAGGCTCTGGCCCCCCAGCTGCCATCCCAGCCCTGGCGCCCCAGGCTCCAGGCTGCGTGGGTACAGCGCTCCCTGGCCTGGGCAGTCCGAGACTAGAGTGGGGTCAGGCTGCAAGGGTGAATACGGTGGGCCTGGTGGTGGCTTGGGGAGCCCCAGAGCTGTGTCTTGGCAGCAGTGAGGTCCCGGGGTTGGCACTCGGTGGCACTGTGGCTCAGCTTTTCCCCACTTGTGATCAGGGTGCATGGCCTTTCCCAGGAGCCAGAACCTACAAATGTTCCTTTTGGGGGGTGGGGAAGGGGTAGCCGAAAGGAAGCCTCTGTGGGTGCTGGGAAATGGGAGAGGAGAGGGGCGGCAAGAACTCGAGGGGGGTGCCAACGACCCCCACGGTAGGTGAAGACCCCCTCCCTGCCCCCACCAGCCCTGTCACCTGCGCTGGGCAGCCTCAGCAGAGGCCCCTCAGCCCGGCTCCCCTGAGCTCCTAGCAGCCACTGATACACTTACTCTACTGTGTCCGAGGGCTGGTCCCCCCACACTTCGCCACCGGGCCTTTCTGGAGCCAGAAGACTTCCCGGGGGCTCCCTCCCTGCCCCTCGGCCTCAAGCCCTATCTTGGCTATAGGTGGACACCACAGTGGGGACCCTCACTGTGGCTCTCCCTCTGGTGGAGCCAAGACCTCTGGCCTCTGAGGGCGTCCACAGGAGCTGGGTCCCACACTTGGTCACAGTGGCACCGCAGCTCCACACGTGGCCGGGCCAGACACAAACCAGGGAAGTGGTGGTTCCGTGGTAAAATCCTCGCCTCCCGTGCCGGAGACTCGGGTTGAACCCCCCGCTGACTTGGCCATCTAGCGCTGCTATAACAGAAGTACCACAAGTAGACGGCTTTAACAAAGAGAAGTTTACTGTCTTACAGCCTAGAAGGCTACAGGTTCAAATCCAGGGCGCCAGCTCCACGGGAAGGCTTTCTCTGTCGGCTCTGGGGGAAGGTCCCTGTCATCAGTCTTCCCCAATCGAGCAGCTTCTCAGCACAGGGGCCCTGGGTCCCAAGGATGCACTCTGCTCCCGGTGCTTCTTTCTTGGTGGTACAAGATCCCCATATCTCTGCTGTCTTCTCTCTTTTATATCTCAAAAGAGATTGTCTTAAGAGACAACCCATCCGGTAGATTGAGCCCTGCCTCATTAACATCACAGAGATAGAATTTACAACACGTAGGAAAATCACATCAGATGACAAAATGGTGGACAATCACACAATACTGGGCATCATGGACTGGCCAAGCTGACACATTTTGGGGGGACACAATTCAATCCATGACACCTGCCAATGCACCTCGTGCACAGCGTGTTGCTGTGATGCTGAACAGGTTTCAGCAAGTTTCTAGAGTAAGATGGAGTAGGAAGAAAGGCCTGGTAATCTACTTCTGAAAATCAACCAATGAAAGCCTTATGGATCACAACAGCCTGACGCATAACCAACTGATCGCGGGGATGGCGCGGGACTGGGAGGCATTCTGTTTAGTTGTGCGTGGGGTCATCAGGAGTCAGCTCAACGGTAGCTCACAATGACGATGACCCCTCATCCTAAGCCGTTTTGAGCTTCTCTCTGTAGAGTCTCGCGGGAAGTGGGGACAGACAGCGAAAGAAACCAAGCCTCGGGCCTTGCCCATGCTTACACCTCCGCTGGTGAGTGGTGGCGCAGGATGGGCACTCAGGGCCCGGGCCTGCCTTTATTTGGGGCAGGGCCCGTGGGCGAGCCTTCCCAGCACCTGGAGACAGCGCCCTCGCTGTCTGCTTAGGCTCTTTCTTCAAGTCACGGGCCCAGACCAATGCCAACTGGAGGAGAAACGGCACCCAAGGTGGAGGTGCAAACATACCCCGGTCCCTCCCCGGGAAGCCCACGGCCACCCTGAGCCCCAGGCACCTGCTCCTCCCTTAGCCCAGCCCAGCCCAGGCTGAGTCTGAGCTCCCGGGGGCCACCCACCATGAAGGTAACCACAAGAGGGACACACAGTGAGAGGCCATCAGATCCTGGGCAGAGGGCACAGAGGGTGCAGCGTGGGGTGGGCTGCACCCCGGGGGTGCTGCACCGTCCACACGTGCCATCCAGGATTTTGCTCGCAGCCATCCTAGGAGAGGGCTCGCTGCTCCGGACTCACCAGCTCCATGGGGCTCGCAGCAGTGAGAGCGCAGAACCAGAGACCAAGCGCTCTCTCTGGGGAAGGGCCTGCCTGGGGGTCTGAGGACCTGCGAGCCGGGAGGGCGTGTGGAGACTCCTTTGGGAGTGGCTTCATCCTCCTCGTGAGAGGCTCTGGCCCTCGTGTCCCAGAACCAGCCGTGAGGCCCCTCACACAACAGTTCTGGACACCCTGCTGCTGCTGCCCCCAGAATGGCTGGCCGCCTGCAGACTCTCACAGGGGGCCAGCCCCAGCGGATGGTGACAGACGCAGCACGCACCACCCAGCCTCAGCTGGGTTTGACCTGAGTCCAGGCTCCTGGGAGTGGGACCTGCCCACCAGAGAGGGGTGGGAGTTCCAGCGGGTGCCCCCACGTCCAGGGGCGGCCTCAGCAGGCCTCCCAGGAGAAAGCGGGGTGAGCAGGCACAAGGGGGCGTCCAGGCGGCAGGGGTGGCGGCAGGCCCTCGTGCACAGCAAGGGGTGAGTCACGGAGCAGATGCAGCGAGGGAGCAAGGGGGAGGCTCGTGCATTGGCTCGGCTCTCCAGCCTCCTCCGTGAATGACTCACTGCTCCATGAGGGAAGGAGCCACTCTGGGGGAGGGGCAAGAGACCCCCAGGGGGCAGGATGGGACTCCAGGGGGCAGACATGGCCCCAGGGGGCAGGACAGAACCCCAGGAAGCAGCAGGGGACCCAGGAGACAGCAAGGGATACCCAGGGGCAGCAGGAGACCCAGGCCCCTCAGAGGCTGCTACACCAATGGCTGAGCCCAGGGCAGAGGGGACAAGCCACCCTCCAGCTCACAGCCGCACAGAGCAAGACAAGGGGCACCGGGGAGAGGTGGATTCTGGCACCACCCTGGTGGCCCTGTCCCGTCGCCCTCACCCCGCTGCTGCCAGGTGTAAGAAACCAGCTGCCGTGGAGTCGACTCTAAGCCATGGTGACCCCACGTGTCAGAATAGAACTGTGTTCTATAGGGTTTCCAAGGGCTGATTTTTCATTAAATCACCAGGCCTTTCTTCCGAGGCTCCAACCTCTCGGGTTAGCAGTTGAGTGTGTCAGCCGTTTGTGTCACCCAGAGGTTACCAGATGTGACCAAACCAACCAACCCAAACCCACGGCCGTGGAGTCGATCCTCACTCATAGGACCCTATAGGACAGAGTAGAACTGCCGCATAGAGTTTCCTGGTGGATTGGAACTGCCGATCTCTTGGTTCGCAGCTGAGCACTTACCCACTGGCCACCAGGACTTTCAGATGAGACCACCACCTATAAACTGCACTCCACGTGGTGCACGTCTGTCTTTCAGTCCTCTGCCAGGATGCAGACCTATTTGCTGGTCCCCATTTCCACCCTCCAGCATCTGAAGCCGGAGGGTGCACGGTCTGGCCCAGGCTCTGGCGGTCTTTGGGCCTCTGACCACCTGGCAGGGGAGGGGAGAAGAGCAGGAGGCTGGGTGCAAACTCCTCCGAGCCACGGCCCCGCCACCCCTTCGCCCACGTGCACCAGCAGCCTCGCTCAGCCCCTCTGCAGCGTTCTCCCCAGTGCGCTGTGCCTGCACTGTCAGCTCGCCATCTGGCCTGGTCCCTGCTTCCTCCCGAGGTCACCTGCCACCGCCCCGCACACAAGCCAACACACGGTTTCTGCCCCGGCACTTTTGATTCCGGAGGATCCCCTTGAAGGAACCAAACTCCCGCCGGCGATTTCCAACACTGAAGAGTCGTCGTTGCCCCCACAGGGCTGAGGCGTGGGGACTAGGCCATCGGCCAGGTCTCCGCGAACACCGCCCCCTCCCGCACAGAGGCAACACGTAGGACCTGGAGCCCGGAGGGCTGCTGAACAGGACGTGGGCGCTGAGGGGGTGTTACAGGGGTGCAGGAGGCGTGGACGACTGGAGGACCGGCCGCCGCAGGCCGCGGGCACGGCCGGCTGCCAGGGTGCGGGTGGCGGCAAGAGCCGGCAAAGACGAGGAAAGGATGCCGATTTAGGCTGGGGGCGGGGAAGCCCCCGATTGGCGGCCGGAAGGCGTGATGTCACGTCCGGCGGGGGAAGCCCTGCCTCAGCACCCCCCGCCACCACCCCCGCAGGTGGCGCCCCGCCCAGGGCGTGGGGGGCCCGCCCTGGGGACCCCGGCCGATCCGGGCCCGCGCGCTGCCTGCCTCCGGTCCCGCCCGAGA